AATTTCATGGAGTTCTCTCTAAGAGCTATTGATATAGTTTTCCTTGTTTGGGTATACCGTATCTTATTCCAAATATTTGTTCGCTCTTTATTCCGATATCTTTCTCCCATGTTCTTTTCAACCCATTTAGTGAACCTGAATCTATCTCAATTAAATAATCTTATATTTTAGAGATTACTCCTTTTAGACTTGTCATATGTTGCATTAAAATCTGTTAAAATTTCAACAGCTTTCTAGTCATGATTTGCCTTACCATAGAGATTACAATTAGATAATGCAATTGATATAGAGAGAACCAATTTAACTCTCCTTGCCATTTTTCTTTTAGTTGCATCACAGTAAAGGGAGTCCCATCTACATAAAGATCTCTGATCCTATAAATCCCTTTTTCTTTCCATTTGAGATAGCTTCCTGGTTTATCCAGACATGAGAAATAAGGATGTAATATGATAGAAATTAGCAGGGATATCTCTGGAATCAATTTATTTTTCCATTTAATCCAAATTTTTAATGTACTATATAGGAAGGGATTCTCTACCCATTTAATGTCTTTTACTTTTCCCCCTCCAAAAATGATTTTCTCAATTAAATTCATTTGGATCTTTGACATCTTTCATGGCTGTAGTGACAAAAAGGTTATCTTGTCAGTATTATATACATACATCAAATGTGAGTATACATTTTCTACTTTTCCTTCAAAGAGCTCAGGGTTACCTCGTTTTCTTTTCCTCACAGCAACTTTAAGAGAGACTCTAGCTACTGAGTCAAAATCACCCAGTGACCTTTGTGGGAGAGTGGAGAATTGAAGTCAGGTCCTCCTAATTATAGTCCGACACTCTACCCGCTATATCACACTGGCTTTATGTGTGTATGTTAAGTTCCACTAAGTCACTTCTGACTTATGGTGACCCTAGGAATTAATTATCTTCAATACATCCTATTGTTGACAAACTTGCTCAGGTTTTGCAAACTGAGGGCCATGGCTTCCTTGGTTGAGTCAATCCATCTCATGGGGTCTTCCTTTTTTCCTGCTGCCTTCAACTTTTCCTAGCATTATTGTCTTTTCCAGTGAGTTGTCTTATCATGTGGCCAAAGTACAATAGCTCGGTTTAGTCACTTTAGCTTCTAGGGAGAGTTCAGGCTTGATTTGATCTAGAACCCACTTATTTGTCTTTTTGGCTGTCCATGGTATCCATAAAATTGTCCTTCAACATCACATTTCAAATGAATCCACTTTCTATCAGCTTTCTTCATTGTCCAGCTTTCACACCCAAACATAGTAATGGGGACTACTATAGCATGTTATCTTGATCTTGGTGACCACACATCCTTACACTTAAGAAAAGGAAGAAGAAGAGTTTGGATTTATACCCCACCCTTCACTCAGAGTCTCAGAGCGGCTTACAAACTCCTTTCCCTTCCCCTCCCCACAACAGACACCCTGTGAAGTATGTGGGGCTGAGAAATCTCTGACAGAAACTGCTCTTTCAAGAACAGCTCTGACAGAACTATGGCTTGCCCAAAGTCATCCAGCATCTGCAAGTGGAGAAGTGGGGAATCAAACCTGGTTCTCCCAGATTAGAGTCCACTCACTTAACTACTACACCAAACTGGCTCTCAAGGATCTTTTTCAGCTCCTTCATTGCTGTCCTTCCCATTCTTAATCTCCTTCTGATTTCTTGGTTACTCTTGTGGGCCAGCCAGGACTCAGCAATAGTAAGGACTCCACAGAAGAGGAGGGGCCCTATGTAGCCAGCTCTGAGTCAGCAGAAGCCAGCAAGCATGAAGATGAGCTGCAGGCTTGTTAGGATTCACAGCCCACAGCTGGTGCAGAGCCATCAACACCCTCCAGCCCTGATTCAAAAGGGGAAACTCAGTTGGTCATTTAATTTCCAGACACCCAGTATCACCCACATCCTTAGAGTGCCACAGAGGGATGCTAAGTACAGAACTTTCAGGAGAGACAACAAAGTGCATGCCTCTTGGCCTAGCTGCTTGTTGATAGCAAAAATGAGTAGTTGCAGGATTACCCCTGAGGAGCTGGCTACAAGCATGAACCTTAAGCATATGGCTATAAAAACTAGCCAAGGGAGGCTGTTAGGTGTGGATGCAACGCATACGATAGACACTCAACCACCAACTCTGCCTTGCCTGGTTTTCTGGAACCCTGACCTTTGGACTGAATGACTTTGCCTTTCCCGACTTCTGTACCCCTGACCTTGAACTGAATGATTCTGCCTTGCCTGACTTCTGGCACCTGGTACTCTGAGCCTGCTAATCAGTACAGTTGAAATGTAGATTGAGCATTTATGGTCTGTGGGCCATGGTTTTGTTTTCCATGTTTGTTGGCATATTCTTGTTAAGATTTTGATGGAGTCCATTTCTGTGGCTTGGAAAAACTATTTGTATCCCATCTACTCCTGGTGATTTGTTTCTCCAAATTGTTTTCAGTGCAGCTTTTATTTCATTTTCTAAAATTGCTGATTCTTCAAAAGATTCTTCTTTGAAGGAAACAGTAATCCTTTCATCTCTTTTTTATAGTTCTTCAGTGTATTGTTCCTTGTCTTTATTTTGTTATGCTCAGTTAATATGTTTCTATGTAAATCATTCAGCATGCCTAACCGTGCTTTATATTTCCCATTGCTGTTTTGGCTCTCATGGAATGGATCTCTTGTTTTTCCATTTTTGTTGCTGTCATTTATTTCTTTACACTGGTTCTTATCATAGTTCTCTTTGTGTCAACATGCCAGTCACTGAAACACTACATTTAGACTTCTGATTCTATTTCTGTCACCTTTACTTTGCTTGTCAATCTTTAGCAATTTTAAGAGTTTCATCAGTCATCCCTCAAGTCTTTTCATTCCTTTGGCTACAGGAATAGTCTTTGCACATTTGTCCTTGTTAATATTTCTGGTTTCAACCCACAGTTCTTCTGGTTCATGTTCACTTGAACTTAGTAATGCAAATCTGTTATTTAGATGGTCTTAAACTCTTCAGGAATGTTGTTTAGATTGTATTTTGGCATTATGAATGTTTTGGTGCTTTTCTTCCACTTTATTCTAATTTTCAGTAATAACAGTTCATGGTCTGCTTTAGCAGAGACAATTGAGCTTCTCCACCTGCTGCTTCTGATTATGTAATCTATCTGATTTCTGTATTGATCATCCACTGATGTCCACATATACAGTTGTCTGTTTGCTTGCCTGAAACGTGTTCACAATGAACAACTTGTTGGCTTCACAGAATCCTGTAAGTCACTCTCTTGCTTCATTTTGTGCCTGTTGATCAAATTTTCAAATATTTGATTCTACTTTGTTTCCCACTTTTGTGCTTCACTCACATATGATTAACAGCATATCTTGTTTAGGTATGTGATCAGTTTCTTCCTGGATGCTTACATAAAAGCTTTCAATTTCTTTTTCATCAGCATCTGTAGTTGGAGCATAAACGTGAATGATAATTATGTAGATAGGCTTGACATGAAGTCTCATCAATATTATCCAGTCAGACTATGCATTATACCCCTGATTGCTTGTGCTACATCTCACTTCACTAGCTTTTTACATGATGGATACATTGAAGCATGTTACCCCTTCTCATTTTCCATCAGACTATGCAAGTATTATTGGCCTAGGGTATGGTCTAAAGCAGAGTTTCCCAAACTTATTCCTAACCCTAACGCCCCCTTTTCAGAAAAAAAATTACCCCCCGGACATCTACCTTAAAGAAGTGGACAAAAAGTTGCAGTTTGTGGATCTGCACCTGGATTGTTCCAGCCCACCTAGATTGTTCCAGCACCCCTGAGTGGGTGGTATTGCCCACTTTGGGAGCCAGTGGTCTAAAGGCATGTGATACAACAAGCATTGTTGAGACTGAGTCAGGTTTGGGTCAAGATCTAGATGGAATTATGACAGGGAATTCCATATACATTAGAGCACCCTGAATAGGGTTGCTAGCACTGCCTTGGCAAATGCTGGAAGATTTTGAGGTTGGTATGACGATACCCCATTGTCAAATCTAAAAACTAGAGACTTAAATTTCATACCTTTTATGATTGACGATTTAGGGACCACTTCTCAATTAAGGCAGTGCCTGGACTCAGGGTGCCAACCTTCCATTCACTTGACCTGTTATGAGGGGATTGTAGGCTTGAAGGAACCACACTGCAGGCTTAATGAAAACACCTAAGGAAAAAGTTTATTTCAGTGGTATGTGTGGCTTGGTTGTTTCTTTGTTCTCTTTTTCTCCAACCCTCACAGTATTACAGTAACAAAGTTACTTGACAGCTGGGGCCTGAGAAAGCATAAAAGTTATAAAGCAGGTTTCTTGTTTGATTTATAACAGAAATGCTTTTAAGTTTGCACTGTTTTAACAGGTATGGTATCTAAACCTATATAACACAGAGCAGATAGGCTTCCCTCTTTTGAATGTTTTTGACAGGAGCAGCACCCAACTCATATCTGAAGTCCCTAATGGACTCCCTGCCTAACCAACATAACCTCTTAAACCTTCTCCTACCAACATCCAACCCCCAGCTCTATCAGTGCCCCCCCCCCGTTTCAACATTCCAATCCATCATTTCAAAGTGATTGGCTGATGCTCTGGAAGGTGGAACTTGAACCCGTCCATCACTGGTGATGGATGCCTGGGGATTGAGGAGGGTGTGACATTACTTCTAGGTGATGCTTTACGAATATCCCCTAGTGTTTTGGGGGGGGCGACCATAATGACACAGGCAAATTCCAAGAGCATCACACTGGAGGCCATTTCAGAGCCACTTTTGTTCCTGCTCCTCAGTTTATTGAAAGCATGGGACTGGGGCTGACAGCAGGGGTTTACCTGCTGCAAGAATGCAAATGGCAAACCTATTGCTGGAGGAAATATGGGACTGTATTTTCATTATTTCTAAATGGGTTTGTACACAAGCAGAACTATAAAAAATGAATAGCCCGAAATTTAGAAGCCCTAGAAGTGCTAATTTCTGGTTTTCATTTTGGTAGCACAAGCGGGAAGCTCTGAAATCCACCAAGTATGTGGAACTTCTTATTGTGGCTGATAACCGAGAGGTAAGCAAGAACTAAAATGAAACTGGTGTAGAGAATTACATCAGCAAGGAAGGTAAAGAATGTCTTATAACCAGGGGGCATTTCGTAGAAGAAGAGGTGCAGGAGCTCATTAGCAGAACTCATTAGCAGAACTTATTTGCATATGCCACACCCCCTGACATTACCGGAAGTGTGTCAGAAGGCAACACCCACCGCTCAGGCTCCACTGGACTGTTTTGGATTGCTAGCTATTGGGGGGGGGGATGTGCAGATCTGCCCTCACAGAGGAGGGAGAGCTTGTACCTGAATAAAACTTGGTCTTAAAGGTGCCACTGGACTATTTTGAAATAAAGCGTGGTGTGAAAGGTGCCCCTGGACTATTTTGGACCGGGGGGGGGGGGCTCTGCAGCTTATCTGGCTGCTTCTTGCTCTGACTGAGGGCTGCTGGGAGCAAGGGGTGAGGCTTGTTGCATGTGCCCACCCCCTGGGCTCTTTACTGCCAAAGCTCTGCTCCTGTGCGCTCCAGCAGGAAATGACCCCTGCTTATAACTCAGGGAATGGTTTATCTTGATTTTTTATCTATTTAGTTATTTGGTTGGTACACTAGTTGGTACACTACAGCCTTGGTGTTTAGTAATGCCGGCCACATGACCACAGAAATGTCTTTGGACAGTGCTGGCTCTTCGGCTTTGAAACGGAGATGAGCACCACAACCTTAGAGTAGGATTCAACTGGCTTTTGAGGAAGGGAACCTTTACCTTACACTACTTTTATTCTGAGAATAGTTACAGGCGTGCCCCGTGAACTTTCTGCGAAATAAGGACTCATTGGGATTAATCACAGCTGGGTACTTGCAGTCACATTAGCAAATACTTTGGATTCTTATAGTTCTAGTTTTTATTCTATTAAAAGGATCTCAGGTAGTCTCTGCCCGAGACCTGGAAGAGCTGCTTCCACTTAGATAATACTGGGCTAAATGGAGCAATGGTCTAACTTGTTACAAGGTACCTTCATACATTCATTTTTCTGGTGGCCAGATTTAAATTTCTGGTTGCTAGACTCTTGGCAAACATTATGAACCCCTGAACACGCATTATCTTAAGCTAACTAAATTAAGCCTTGCCCTCAATGATCTCCTCTGGAAATCTGTAAAGGCAGTTCTTAGTATTCATGTAAAAATCAATTCCTATGGTTATAGGGAGGAAGCTATAATAGGAAAAGGTTTTCAATTAAAAAATTGATCTGTATGTCAGTTTCCAGCCAATAGCAGACAATGCACTTCTCCTTTGTACCAAATTTCCCTTGTGAACTACTATAATCATGAATATCTGGGACTGTCAACTAGTGGCATTCCCCTTTATCTGGAAGTGGTCCAGAGCATGTGAGCTATTTATAGGCCTGACACATCTGTTCGTTTTTTACACTGCCCTGGAATCAACATAATAATATGTTGATAATGACAAGATGGAGAATAACTGCTTGGGAAAGGTAGATGATGACAGGAGAATAATGAAAACAATAAAGATGCTCAGTGTTACTTCAGATTTTCTTATAGTTTCAGAGACAGGGCAAGGATGTGGAAAAAGTGAAGCAGAGGCTGATAGAAATTGCAAACTACGTTGATAAGGTAAAGTATTTTAGTTGAGACAATAGATGTAGTGTCAATGTCAGTGAAATTGTCTACTTTTTGAATGGTATATGCTTGCTGTTACTGAGGCTTTGAGAATATGACTTTGAGAAGTCATAATTTTAACAGAGAGCATGGCTGGTGGCCCAGATTCATTTAGATCAGGGGTGTCAAACATATGACCTGTGGGCCTGAACTGGCCTGTCCAGGGCTCTTATCCGCCCTGCAAGCAACTGGTCATCATCACCTTTATTGCCAGGTGACAGAGGCTGCGCATTATGTCCCTGTATCCTGTCCCAGTGCTAATGAGTAATGGGTGGTGAAAGAGAGGGTGGGCATCAGGGAGATATTTAAGGAAATACTGTTAGAGTGTTAACGTTTTAAGCATGTTTATATTTTGAGTGAACAATAACATTGTTAGTTGGGTTTGCTTGGCCCCGTTCATACGAGGCAGTTTGGGCTGGGAGCGGGCCAGATTGGAAGCACAGCAAACGGGCGCGATCCCACGCCAACATCTGCCTGGCGTCGCGCTCGCGCCTCCAATCCAGCCCTTCCCCCGATGAAGCACGTCAAAGATGAACCACCTACCTTCGGTGGTTCATCCGGATGGTCCGCTTCATCCTGGCCGTGGGATCGGCGGCGTGTCTTGCCGCTGTCTCATCCCCGCCCCCCTGCCGTACTGCGCATGCTCGAGCATGCGCAGTATGGCAGCCTCCCCCTCCGACTAGTATCTTCCTCCCCGGCATCTGATCGTGCCGGGGAGCAACGGAGCGCGGCTACCGGGATCCGTGGGATCCCGCCGCGGCGTTTCTTTTTTGGTGCGGCTTTTAAAAGCCGCGCTTCGCCCCGTCTTTTCCCTGCCGTGTGGCAGGGGCCCTTGTGTCCTTTACAAAGTTTAGATTTCCCGTACCTGGTATAACATGGCCCGGCCTGACAAAGTGACCTTTATGTTAAATACGGCCCTCATGACAAATGAGTTCCACACCCCTGATTTAGATTGCTTCCACACAGAGGTTTTTTAATCCACTTTGGCTACCAAACTTCAGGACTTTTTATTTTAAGCATCCTCATTACCTTGTGGTCTAATCGAATTCTAATCATCATGCTCTTGGAACACTATTTCCAGAACCTTCTTTTCTCCAATAAGAAGTGGTTTGGATGGGAAGGTATGCATTACTCAAGGTCTCACCCAGATTGGCACCATTTTTTTTAAATACCTTGCATCCACCATTTTCCACTACATCACAGCATACCACTGGAGGGTTTTTTCAGTCTTTTAAAAACTGGTGATACATTGGTAATCTTTGGAAGCCGTGCTTCAGGTGCCCCTGCCATCTGAGGCTCAATGGGTACCAACTTGAGACAGGGCCTTCTTGGTCATGGCACCTAAACTTTGAAACTCTCTGTCACCCTCTTTTGTTTTCATCTCCCAGCATGTGAAGACTTTTTTGTTTTGTTTGGCATACTACCAGAACTGATATTGGCTCTCTTCATTGGTTTCGATGTTACATGTGTTTATATGTTTTAATTGAATTATTTTATACATAATTTATTTTAAAAGTTGTTTTGATGTTGAAATATTTTAACATTTGATGTTCACCACCTTGGAGGCCCTATTTGGGTGGAAAGGCGCATTGCAATGTTTTAAATAAAGATAAATAAATAAATAATAGCTGGATCACTAGCATTGTAGCCATCTATTGTGACAATATACCAATTCCTCTGAGTTCCCAGCTTTCATTAAAAAAGCACCCTCTCTAGCCTTTTTTAATTGTGGAGGTATGCCTTTTACTTTCTCTGTAGTGAAAAGAGCTAGAGACCTACTTTTTAATGAAAGCTGGGGATTCAGAGGAACTAGCATGCAATTACAATAGTAAAAACCATAAAACACTGACTTGTTTGCAAACCCCTCCCTCCCTTCCATGGAGGCTGAGGCTTGAGATAGTGCTTGGGCCTTCTCTTCCAACAGATTTCGCTGTTGCTTGTTTCTCCCGCACAAGGACAGAGTGCAGGCCTCTCTCACCATCCTCACAACTGCCCTCTAAGGCGGAGCGGCACGAGTCCCATTTTACGGGTAGAAAGCTGAGGCCAAAGGTGAATGGCCAAATTGTCCTGTGAATGAAGGAACGAAGAGGGGGGTATCTGAGGTCTAGTTTCCCCAGGAACCACACCAAGCTGTTTCAGGTTGCATGGGGCCCAAATTACAATTACAATACTATGTTATAATGCTATAGTGATCCTTTGATATGTTTGAAACTAAAACCTCAAATACTTTAGGTTATTAAAAGGAAACAAAATATAGTAAACTATAGGAGCCTGATGTGAATGTTTTTAAAAATTCTATTCTTTCTCATTGACTAACCGTGCAAGTATCGGGCCTTGATACATAGATTTATACTAGTAGCATCTTTAGGAAACCGAACCATCACTTGGTTTGGAAGATATGCTCCCAGATTGCATTCCTATGCATGCTGGAAAAGTGAGATCATGTCTTCTCTTCCACCCATCAGACATGCCTGTCCTGTCTTCAAGACCACAAGAATCCTTTCATGTGTATAATGTTTGAATATGGTTCTGCACAATCAAGATCTGTTTTACAATCCAGCAGTCAACTGTGAAATTTAGGCATTTATGTGTTACATTAGTTTGCCTTATTTCATGCATGGCAGGACAGTTGTGCCCAGAATATGGGGTTGAAATCTTTCCCCCTACTGCATATAAGAAAAGACTGGAGAGAATATCCTCTGGTCTGGGCTTGTCATATTAGATAGGGTTACCAGATGTCCTCTTTTTTGTGTGTCTGTCCTTTTTGGGGCTCTTTTAAAAAAAACTGATGAAAATGTCTTCTTTTTGGATTGGAAGGTTAGGAATATTCCTAGATAGTAGCAATTATCACAGCTTAAATAGTAGGGGTATTTAAAATTAGATTTGTAATGGCGATCAGTTGTTTGAAGTAGCCAAATACACCCTCTTCTTTGCTTTTCAAAATACAGCAATCCTATGTTAGATGTTTACACTTCTGTATTTTACTTCCATGGGATAGGGTTCAAAATATTGATTTGGCTTTCTTATCAGTTCTATAGGCCACTAAATATTCGAATAGCTCTGGTTGGAGTGGAAATCTGGAATGACATGGATAAGTGCACAATAACCCAAGACCCATTCACCAGCCTACATGAGTTCCTGGACTGGCGAAAGCTGAAGCTACTACCTCGTAAACCACACGACAATGCACAGCTAGTGAGGTATGCCTACTGAGAAGTGAATACTGGGAGAGAAGTTCATAGTCCAAGAAATGCTATTCAGAATTCCAGATTGTAATGAAAGTTGCTAATTCTAGTGTAATTTCCATCCTTATGTCATATTATTTATTTATGTCATTTTACTTCTGCCTATCTCACTGAGTCTCAAGGTGGAAAACATCATTTTAAAAAACAAATCAATAAATCAGGATAGTAGTAACGGTGTGATATAATAATTAAAAATGGATTGCAGAATTAGAGAGCACAAAAATAAAAGTGTAATACAGGGGTGTCAAACATGCAGCCTGGGGGCCGGATCAGGCCCCCAGAGGGCTTCTATCAGGCCCGCAGTAGAACTGGCTGTCTTCTGCTTCTTCTTCCAGTTCTGCTGCTGCTGCATCATCGTAGGCTTGCAGCTTACAGATACACACCTGAACAGCATACTCAGGATTGCCACAGCACAGACATCTCGATGCAATAATTCAGAGCAAGAGGTGTCAGTTATCAGACACAAATAAACAAAATATTGCAAGACTGCTAATATTTTAAGCATGTTTTTTAAAATTAAAAACCCCTTTGTGTTCGTGTCCTTTATAAAGTTTATATCTCTGCTACCTGGCATTACATTTTATGACACACATGGCCCGGCCCAACAAGGTCTCATTTATGTCAGCTCTGGCCCTCATAACAAATGTTTGACACGCCTCGTGTAATACCTACAACAAACAATGCAGAAAAACACGATTGCAGAATTGGAGAACGATGCAATAAAAATATAGTATATAGTATTCTATATGTAATAAAGCTGTAATAAAGCTGAATCGCAAATGCAGAAAATCATGCAAAAATACTATCATACATACATTGAACTGTGCTATGGGGAATTGCCTAAAATTTTCTCAAGCATTAAAACTACAGCCCTGTTTCCTTTATGCAAAAAAACCCCCCAAAACCCTCCCAGACAATTCTGTGTTTACACATTCTTTGGAATGCAAGAGAAAAGAGCAGGAACCCAGTAGCGCCTTAAAGACTAACAGAAGACTAACATACCCTGCCACATATTTTGTTAGTCTCTAAGGTGCTACTGGACTCTTGCTGTTTTCTACTGCTACAGACAGACTAACAAGGCTACCCATCTTGATCATTTGGAATGCAAGACGAGTGAGAGGCTTCTTGATCTTGTCAAGCAGGCCATTCTTTCCAGGCAGGAGCCACAGCAGAGGACACTCAGATGCAAGAGGCCATTGACCTTATCCATTTGCAAGGTGGCAGCTTCAGAAGCCTTCGCTCAAATGAGTGAAGCTGTCACAGCACAACAAATCAAGATGGTCAGTCCTGCAGATATGTGGATCCAACAATATGAAGGGCTTGTAGGTGATAACTAATACTATGAATCAAACTCCATGAGAATCATGTCAATAGAAGCCAGGTGTTGGGGTGCGTTTTGTCCCTTTCAGTAACTTTGTCTCCATAAGTGGTGCTTTATTTCCCCCTGTTCAGCCATTAATTTATGTGGGATAAAGTATAAGGGTGAGCTTGGGGATATCAGTGGGTCGGAGGGGCTAAACCTGCCTTCAAAAGCTGTTTGCCTTCTTTTAACATTTATTCTTTTCTTCCTCAGTGGAGTATACTTCCAAGGTACTACCATTGGTATGGCACCCATAATGAGCATGTGTACTGCTGAGCAGTCTGGGGGTATTGTTATGGTAAGTGCTTGTTAGTACCACATTGTTTTGTTTATCCAATGCAAAACACTTTTTTACATTTAGCAGAAGCCAGGGCAGCTAGCTTTCTTTATGCCAATAAAGGCTCACTTGACTTGACTTGACTTGACTTGACTTGACTTGACTTCTAGACTTTTTTCACTTCATGACAATGTTGGATATAGTTTTGATTCATTTTGTACTCTGTGCGGATGAGTTGTGGTCTTGGCAGGGGTTGGGGGAGACTCAGGAAAGAATTTTCTTTTTAAAAAGGTGTGTTTTCTCTTTCTAATTCTCTTTTAGTTGCCCTCCGAATTCTGAGCCTTTCAGAATAAATATTCCTGATTTTTTCCCCACAGTATCCTTAGTTCCATTTTGCAAAGAATCAAGAATGAAAGTACCAGGAAGAGTCCATAGATAAACTGACAATGTATGTGAACATCATGCATATGTTCTCCAGTGGCTAGATTTGAGTCCAGCAGCACATTAGAGACCAACAAGATTTTCAGGGTATGAGCTAAACTCTCAAAAACTGATACCCTGAAAATCTTGTTGATCTCTAAAGTGCTGCTAGACCGGAATCTAGCCACTAACAAGGGGAGTTTTGACTCATTCCCCAAAAATCTTGTAGGTGCTACTGGACTCAAATCCAACTGTTCTACTGTAGACCAACACAGCTACTTCTGAAACTGTGTTCTCCAGCACTATCTTTTAACTGCATAATCCAGTGCAAATTATATCTCCGTGGAAATCCATAGGGCTCAAGCATATTATTGTGACTAACTGCAATAGGATTTTACTGTACTCAATGGATGCTGCACATTTTACAAGAAAGCTTTAAATTAGACTGTCCACCAAAGAAAGCTTTTAAACAAATTAATGGATAAAATTTGAATAAACTGGCTATTCAAAAACCTTTAGTATATGATTTGCTTTTGTGAGATTCTGAAAACAGTGATGGTGAGCCATCTTCCAATCTTGATTCATAATTAATCTGGATCTCCTGTATTAATAATATATTCTATATCCCAAACTTGAAGGGCATGACCTGTGTGGGTTTCTTTTATTTATTTATTTTTTAATTTTCTTTATTGAGTTTCAAAACATGAACAAACATCAAGTTAATCTTCTATTATATCACAGATGTGCATACAACCCCTTACCGACTCTAAGTTCACCTCCAAATTAACCCTCCACCTTTAACTTCAAATTATACAATTTTTTCCAGTTTTTCTCGAAAAGTAGTTCATCTTCTCCCTTCAATCTACAAGAAATCTTGTCCATTTCAGCGATTTCAAAGCACTTCTGTATGACCTCCATTT